ATAATTCTTAAAGATATTATAGGAAGCAAGATTGAACAAATTAAAGATTTAGAAGCAGAGGTAGAAGAGCTAGAAGAGAGAGTAAAAATAGAACAGGAACAAGTTAAGGAAGTTGTAGCAACTGGTGAAAAATGAAGTAAAGCTCAAGCAGAAGACATAAAAGAAAAAAACAAGAAACTCAAGAGTGCTAGTAAAAAGATTTCTCATCTAGAAGCCCAAGTTGAAAAGTTGAAGGAAGAATCAAGTCAAAAGAGCAAAAAAATAGAAAAACTAAGCAAGCAATTAACTGATAGTGAAACACAAAATGAAAATTTGAGGAATTTGATCGACTTAGATAATAAACCTTTACCCGCCTTACCTATAGAAGAAGAAGACAAGACTTCAGTTAAACAGAGCATATTTAAGCAGTTAAAAACAAAAGCAAAAGTTAAGATTCAACATTTACAAAAGTTAATCAAAAAGGAAAAATCTCACAACCAAGAAATGATTGCTCGAGTAGAGGTTAAGTCTAAATAACAAGTAAATTGCAATGAGAGAACTGGAATACACAGTTTTAGAATTGGAAAAAGAAAACAAAAAGACTTGTGATTTCTGCTCTAAGTTTGAAAACAAAAATAATAAATCCATTCATCAAATAAGAGCTCGTAGCAAAGTAACTGGGGAATGAATTTCAGATGACATGGTTTGTGAAAGGTGTGAAGAAAAGTATTGAAATGATGAATTGTTAAAGTGTAATAGATGTGGTAGATTGCAAACCAAGTTAGATTTTGATATTACTACTGGTAAGAATGTTTGCTACTGTATTAGAAACAATGAGGATTTGGAAGAGAAGGAACTCCCTCTCTTACCTGATGAAGAAGTAAGTCAGTCTGCTTTTTATGAAAGGCAAATAAACTCCTTACAAGAACAACTAAACAAGACTGAAGAAGCATTAGAAATCGAAAGGGAAGAAGTAGTTAAGTTTCAGGAGAAATCTGAAGAATGAAGCAAGAGGCAAAAACAAGAATTGCTAGATAGGATTAAACAATTAGAAGCAGAAAATGAAAAACTAAAAGGCTTAACTAATCAAGAATTAATAAAAGAAATCAACAAGTTAAAAGTTCAATTAGCACAATTACAACAACAAAATGGTCAATTAGTTGCTCAAATCGAAGTTAAAAAATGACCTTGATTGAAAATAAGAAAGTAATTTAAAGAAATTTTCTTCTGTATAAATTGAAATTAATTCCAACTATCAAAGAAAATGGTATTTATTTTCCTTCTGATGATTTTTGCTTTTTATTAGGTAATAATGCATCATCATGATGCTTTCTTTTTTTAGCATTTATTATTTTTCTTTCTTCTTGGTAAATTTCATAAGTGATCCTTTCTTTTCTTAGATAAGCTTCCAGTGTTTGAGTGTCATTTATTTTAAAAATATAAGGAGCAATTTTTTCACCTTGTTCTTTTTTCAAAATACTTCTGATAATACTATAATTCTTGGGTTCCATGGTAGACCTAATATAAATTAGCTTCATATTAACTATTTTTGCCTAGACAAATATAATGATCACATTATATTGTAATCGAATTGTGATGTTAAACAAACACTATTGATCCCTAAAATTTTGGTAATATTAATGTTCACTTTGTCTGGTTTTGTTGCAGTATGTTCCAAATAATAATTAAAATGGAAATAAAATTAAATTGTCCCGGAATTAAGAGGTTCGGCCAAAATATCTGCGTTAAAGTCTAATCCCGGTAACATTATTATTACTCAAAAAAATCTTGATACTAATACTTTTTATAATAATAATGTCATTTTTGTGTGGCCTATATTATAATTATTATGTTGTGTAATGAACGGAATTTTTGACAATGTTAAAAAGATTTTTTTTATTAAATGCAACAACAAATTATTCATTAACAAAAAGTTGTTCATTAGCAAGAAAGTTTTCAACCACCACATTATTTATCAATTTTTATCAAATCTTTCATCAACAACACAAATTAAACAATAATAATAAATCAATCAAAAGATTTTCATCGACATCAGCATCAAAAAAAATGTCTGTTCAAAGGTCTGAAGAAGAATGGAGAGCTATTCTTTCGCCAGAACAATTTAGAATTATCAGACAAAAAGGAACTGAGGCACCGAATACTGGTGAATATAATAAAGTTTTTGAGAAAGGCATCTATAATTGTGCTGCCTGTGATGCACCACTTTATGTTTCAGACACTAAATTCGATTCTGGATGTGGTTGGCCTGCTTTTTTTGATTCTATTCCAGGTAAATTTATATTATTGCTTCATTAAATTATTATAATAAATAAATATATATATATATATATAATATACATATATATAACTTAGGAGCAATTAATCGTAATGAGGATGATTCTCATGGTATGAAAAGAGTAGAAATTACATGTGCTAATTGTGGAGGTCACTTAGGTCATGTGTTCAAGGTGTGTGTATTCACATATATCCATTTATTTCACTATTTATTGATTTTGATGAATAAAATTTTTTTTTAGGGGGAAGGTTGGAAACATACACCAGCAGATGAAAGACATTGTGTTAATAGTGTTAGCATGAAATTTAAAGCAAAAGAACAACAATAATATATTTTATTTATTTGTTCCTAATATTTATTTTATATTTTATAAAAAGTAAATATTAATACAAATTATCAAATTTTATACATTTTGCTCCTTAGATTCAATCTCTATAATTTAACTTTTTATAAACAATAATATAATAATGTTATACTATTGAAAGGGGAATCAGTATTCATACTATTGGCATCATTTTTTTATTCTTATTTTTTTATTATTATCTTCAACATCTTTATCTGGTGAAGGTGATAATACTGAATCATCTTCATCTTTGTTGCCATTACCATCATTATTTGAACATTTATTTAAATTATTATTATTATTATTCACAAATTTGGAAATTCTTCAAATTGCTCTTGATAATATAGGTCAAATTCAAAATCAAATAACAGGAATGATGATTTGTTCAAGCCTAATTTTGTATTTTTATGTGATTTGTTTTCTCTAAAATTTTGGGAAGTTTTGTGCAAATCTTTAATAATAACTTTTTTTTATGATCTTACAAATCATAAATCATAAATTTATTGAAAATACATAAAAACATAATAATCACAATAAAATTTTAATTTGAATTAAAATGCATCATCATAGCTAATTTTTTAAAGACTTTGAGACAAATTTTATCTATTGATATCCAAAATTATATCATAAAGAAAACTTCAACAGTGCAACTGGAAATTGGTAGCCAAATACAATTCAATGCAGTCTATTACTAAATCTAGTGCAGCTTTTAATCCAGAATATATCTCATTCTTGTAAAAGATGTAAAGGATTATTAAAATAATTATTGAATAAAGTCTAATATTTCTACATTGAATATCTCTTAATCAAATAAAAATAGGAACAAAAACTCTACCTACACACAGGATGATTAGGTATATATAAAGTGAATTTTGTTATTTTCCTCATATAAATTGAAATTCATCCCAACTATCAAAGAAAAATGGTTGTGCATCAATAACAGTTATGAATAATCAAAATGTCATTAATCTTATTTATGTCACATGATAAATGTTCACTTTGTCTGGTTTTGTTGCAGTATGCCCCATTTACAAAAAATTACTTTCTTATTTTCAATCAAGGTCATTTCTTAGTTTCTTTAACTTCAATTTGAGCAATTTGACCATTCTGTTTCTCTTTTAACTTCTTGTTTCCCTCTTCTAGTTCTTAATTTTTTCTTCTAAACCCTTTATCTTATCCAATAAACCCCACTTTTGTCTTTTGTTTCACTCCTCTGGCTTTTCTTGAAATTTGGTTACTTCTTCAGCCTCATTCAATTATTATTGTAGGGAGTTTATTTGTCTTTCATAAAAAACAGACTGATTTATTTCTTCATTAGGTAAGAGGGTGAGTTCTTTCTCTTCTAAATCTTCATGGTTTCTAATGCAGTAGCAAACATTCTTACCATTAACAAATCAAAATCTAACTTAGTTTGCAATCTACCACATCTATTACATTTTAATAGTTCACCATTCCAATACTTTTCTTCGCATCTTTCACAAATCATGTCATCTGAAATTCATTCTCCAGTTACTTTACTACAGGTTCTTATTTGAGCAAAAATCACAGTTTTTTTATTTTCTTTTTTAATTCAAAACTATGAATTCCAGTTCTCTTATTACAATTCACTCATTATTTAGACTTAACTTCTACTCAAGCAATCATTTCTTGGTTGTGCAAATTTTCTTTTTTGATTAGCCTTTGTAATTGCTGAATCTTAACTTTTGCTTTCGTTTTTAATTGCTTAAACATGCTCTGTTTAGTTGATGACAACTTGTTTTCTTCTTCTATAGGTAATCAGGTAAAGGTTTATTATTTGAGTGAACCCTTTCACCATCAGTTAATTGCTTATTCTTTTGACTTGAATCTTCCTCTAACTTTTCAATTTGAGCATCTAAATGAGCAATCTTTTCACCAGTACTTTCAAATTTCTTTTATATCTTCTGCTTGATTTTTACTTAATTTTTCACCAACTATTAAGATTTTCTTAATTTCTTCACATTCCATCTTCACTTCACCTTCCAACTCTTTTATCCTTGCTTCTAGTTCCCCTTGTTTTGTCTCTAATTCTGCTATTTTCTTTTAATACTCTGTTTTTTGACTATGTTTTCTGAAATACATTTAGCACATTTTGAACCTAATTCTTTTGATCAATCATAAATTTCCTCAATAGTAAAGTTGTCAAATCAAACTCTGTCCAAGTTTCTCAAAATTTGGCAAGGATGATTAGAATCTTTGCTATTCTTTTACCTTCATCTAATCATTTTTTGTTTAATTTCCTATATCACCAGTAGCCAGCAGGAGCATCCTTGTCATTACTTCCCTCAGGTTGACCAGTCATGTGATCTTTCGGTTTGTATTTTTTATTAATATTTTATATTTGCATTTTTATTATTTATTTATATATTATGATTATCATAAAAATAATGCCATTTTTTGACCTAATTCGTTTTGTAATAATAAAACAAATCAATTCTTTTTTTTGTTCAATAAAACACTTTTGTGGTCGGAAATTAAACAGTAGAGTTTAATTGACCGCTTGGTTTTCGCCAACTTCGCCGCAAAATTAGGCCTAAACTATGTTGGTTCCGGCCATCATACACTAGCCTTGTGTTCTTTAATTATGTATTACGTCACGAATCGCCTTGAGTTACGTCTCGCGTCACGAATTGCGTCCTACATCTCTTGCATCATGAATTGTGTTTTGCGTCACGCATGACACCAATGCAAGCTTTTAAACCACTACAACTGTTTCGCCTTTTATATTTAATTAATTATTATTAACTAAATTTATGTAAATCACAAAATTTTCTTATTAACCCGAACTCGACCCGAAATTTTCGGGTCTGGTTCAGTTTGACACTTAACCCGCCCGAACCTGACCCGTTAGGAGCTTTAATTTTAATTGTTGTAAAAATATAAGTTAACTTTATTATTTTTGAAAAATGTTTGTTATATAGTAGGATAAGTTACAAATAAGTTAGTACTATTTGTTATCAATCGATAATCATTCATGAATTGTTACAAATGTTTGAAATGGTTATATTCAAAATAAATACAAGCATCTAAAATAATTACAAGTATCCAAAATAATTATGAGTATCCAAAATAGTTATGAAATAAATATTATATATTCAAATATCCTTGAATAAATTGATTTTCGAATATTTCTAAAAAAATTTGATTTTCAGTAGGAACACTATCCCAAGATAGCTTTAATATCTAAGTATTGAAAACCTTTTCCACTTTCATAACACTGTGCTTTATTTAACCAAGCTGGACTAGACTTTTTTATCATTTCAACTACATGGCCCAGACAATCTACTCTTGTTCTTCTATAGAGTTTTTTAATCATGCCAAAATTTCACATTTAAATTTGGTATGTCATGGAATCATGAAATTCAATTCAATACTTTCATAGTAACCACAAATTACCAAATATAAATAAAATCAAAGTGATGTTATTTTTATTCTTCACAAGTAATCTTTAAATGCTTTCCACCTTTATTCAATTTTTTCATTCCATCAAAGATCAAACTAAGAGTGCCATTAATATCTTCTTAAGAACATAATTAATTTGTCCTCTTACTGCTTCATCTTGAATATCAAACAACTGAACTTTACATGGACTAAAGTAATAGATTTTACCTGTTGATCTGAATGTGGTACATGAACATTTTGGGCTCAATCATAACTATAATGTGCAGTGCATCAATGCTGCAATATTGTGTTTTACCCTTTGAATAATTTTGATTAACTGATTTTTCTTTGTTCTTCTGCTAATTTGGTATTTTTATTATAATAATTTCTTTCTAATTTGGCCTTGGATAGATGTTCTTTAAATCTTTTGAGTAGATCTTTGGCTTCATCCTCTTGGCGAGCATTATAATGTAAACCATCTCTAAAATGCTGACAAGCATCACACAAGTCAGTCCTTGGACTCATAATTTGAATCTCTGGTGTCAATTGATGTCACAACTTCCTGAAGGCATCATATTTTAATGATTTCAATTTGTTGTTTTCTTCCAGACCAGCCAGAAAATCTCTGTGGACTGATTTATAACTCATTTCAGCTGGTAAGAATGTAACTGATTGAGTTATTATATTGACACTTCTTCCTGGACTTGGTAATCCATGAACTTCTGCATAATTTTCCAGAAAATTTTTTACCACTTCAGCAACATTTTTATCAATTACCATTTTAGTTTTCCATTGAGGCATTCTTTTAATATTACCATGAATTCTTGGTAAAAGACCATTGTTTATCAGATGATTTCTGATATTTTCAAAATATGACCTACCAATTCCTAACATACTGAGATAAGTTTCTTGACAAAGAGGTATATTGTGATCCCAGTGATAGAAAGTTCTTTTATTAGATCTAGTTTTCTTTTTAAGGGGTCTACTGGTGCTTGTTAATCCACCATCCATTGCTTTAAGTTGGGCCATTAAAAATATGTCTTGTTCTGTTTTAGAGAGAGCTTGAAAGGATTCCCTTAATTCTGCAAATCCTTCCTTGGGAATTCTTGAAGAACAGCCACGACCACAACCTTTTCTAAAAAATCAACAGCTTTTTGATATTCATTAGAACCATTATACTTATTATTACTTTTCATATACACTTATATATAATTTTATGTTCACTTTGTGGTTTTTTTAAAATTGGGATGAGAAGAAAGATGAATAGAGATCATTCAAAGAGCAAAATATTGAAAAGGCAAAAAAAAATTAATGAATATTAGCAATATTTTATTTTCAATAACAACAATTTAATAAAAAGTGATTTTGTCTTTAAATAATTATAGATTTTTCTATATTTTAGTTGAATGCAAAAAAAAATTTTTGATGAATCAATAAATAAATTATTAAACTCATTGAATGAATTGACTCATAAAGACAATGATAAATATTAATGTTGAAACTATTAGATCATAAATGAATTATTTGAAATGATAAAAATTGTACCAGTTGTGAAAAAGTCAAATAAAATGATTATTTTGATGAAT